GAAACATTCCTTCAACTAAAATCAAAATAAAACATTTAAGAAGAAATCCTTTCATCAAAATAAGAACCCTGTCCACTTTCAAAAGAAGGAAGGAGCTGAACGTCGAGCCTGCTTCGTTTGTGGAAGAACCAACCATCTTGCTAAGGACTGCTTTTTCAAGAAAACTGAACCACCCAAGCCTAGGAAGGGAGGACCTCCACCTAATAAGTCACAAGTAAACATGGTGACTTCCAGTCCAGCTGAGGCTGCTTTCAGGTCTGTTCTCTTCACTCCTGAAGTAAACATGACCTTTCAAGCAAATGATTGGTGGATTGACACTGGAGCTAATATTCACGTTTGCTCTAATCAATCTTTATTTTCCACCTATCAGGTCTCAAGTAGAGGAACTGTGACAATGGAAAATAATAATGTGGCTCCTGTAACTGAAATAGATCGGATCAACCTAAAGCTGACTTCGGATAAGACTTTGATCCTGCAGGATGTCCATCATGTACCACATATTAGGAGAAATCTAATTAGCGGATCTTTATTAGTGCAACAAGGCTACAAACTTGTTTTTGAATCAAATAAAGTTGTAATAACTAAGGGATTGAACTTCATTGGTAAAGGTTTTTTATGTGATGGTCTTTTTAAATTGAATGTTAAGAATTCTACTCTTGCATCTCCAATAGCTTTGAATATTGAACCTTCCATCACTTGGCATCAAAGATTAGGACATGTGAATTATAATTCAATTAAAAGATTGATGCATCTCAATATAATTCCAAAGCTTAATATAAAAGATGATGAAAAATGTGAAATATGTGTAGAAGCCAAACTTCCTAAGAAACCATTTAAAACTATTGATAGAGATTCTGAGATATTAGAACTCATCCATAGTGATGTTTGTGATTCAGGAAGAACAACTAGAGGGGGTAACAAATATTTTGTAACTTTTATAGACGATTGCTCTAAATATTGTTACCTCTACTTAATTAAGACCAAAGATGAAGTCATAAACAAATTTAAAATATATAAAGCAGAAGTTGAAAATCAGTTGGATAGGAAAATTAAAATACTAAGATCAGATAGAGGTGGTGAGTACACTTCTAATGAATTAAAACAATTCTGTGAAGAGAATGGAATTATTCATGAAATAACTGCTCCATATACACCTCAATCTAATGGAGTAGCTGAGAGAAAGAATAGAATACTAATGGACATGGTAAACTCAATGTTAATTAATTCTGGTGTGCCAGAAAATTTGTGGGGAGAAGCTCTCATGACTGCCTGTCATATACTAAATAGAATTCCATTCAAGAAATCTGATAAAACCCCTTACACAATTTGGAAGAATAGAAACCCTAATTTGGATCACCTGAAAGTGTGGGGGTGCTAAGCAAAAGTTAAAATATCTGAGAATAAGAGAAAGAAGATTGGACCTAAAACTGTAGATGGAATTTTTATTGGCTATGCTTCTGATAGTAATGCAAATAGATTTTTAATAATCAACTTTGACATTAATGAGATAGCCAAAAACACCATAATTAAAGCTAGGGATGCACATTCCTTTGAAAATATTTTTCCTTACAAGACCAGAGTAAACAACACAAGCCAAAGCTCTAGTAATCCAGATCCTAGTTCTAACTAAGGTGAAACTAGTTCTAAACAAATTAGATCACTAGAAAGTCCAGAGGAGCCTAGGAGAAGTAAAAGAACTAGAATAGAAAAGATCCATGAAGATTTCTATGCATTACTTGTAGAAGATTCTCCAATTACATTTGAAGATACAATGAAATCAGTAGATGCTCCATTTTGGAAGGAAGCTATAAATAATGAGATACAATCTATAGTTCAAAATCATACTTGGGAACTAACTTATCTTCCTTCAGGCTGTAAAACAATAGGATGTAAATGGGTATTTAAGAAGAAACTCAGACCAGATGGAACAATAGATAAATATAAGGCCAGATTAGTAGCTAAAGGATACACCCAAAAATCTAGTATTGATTATTTTGATGTCTATTCTTCAGTAGCTAGGATTACTACCATTAGAGTCCTTATAGCTCTAGCATCTATTCATAAATTAATAATACATCAAATGGATGTTAAAACTACATTCTTAAATAGAGATTTAGATGAAGAAATCTATATGAATCAACCTGAGGGATTTATAGCTTCTGGACAAGAAAAGAAAGTATGCAAACTTATTAGATCACTATATGGTCTCAAACAAGCTCCAAAACAATGGCATATGAAATTTGATAAAATTATATTATCTTATGGATTTGTAATTAATCAAACAGATGAGTGTGTGTATCATAAAATAGATAATAACAATAAAATTATGATATTATGCTTATATGTTGATGACATTCTTATTTTTGGATCTGACATACAAATCATAAATGATATCGAACACTTTTTATCACAAAATTTTGACATGAAAGATTTAGTTCAAGCTGATTTAATTCTTAACACTAAAATCTTGAAGAATGAGAATGGATATGTGCTGTCACAATCATATTATATAGAGAAAATTCTCAAGAACTTTTATGATCCAAACTGTAAACCTGTTTCTACTCCATATGATCCTAATGTACATCTAAAGAAAAATACAGGTTATCCTCAATTACAAAGAGAATATGCACAAATAATTGGATCATTAGGATTCCCAATAAACTACACAAGACCTGACATTGCTTATGCAGTAAATAGACTTTTAGTAGATATACATCAAATCCTGATAAGAGTCATTGGGATGCTCTAGAAAGAGTTTTGAGATACCTAAAAGGAACTATGAATTATAGTTTACACTATAAAGGTTATCCATCTGTACTAGAAGGTTATTCAGATGCAAATTGGATTAGTGACTCAGTAGATGTAAAATCCACCACAGGATTTGTGTTCCTTTTAGGAGGAGGAGTTGTTTCATGGAAATCTACTAAACAAACTGTAATGGCTAGAAGTACAATGGAATCAAAAATGATAGCCATTGATACTACTAGTATAGAAGCTGAATGGTTGAAAGATTTACTAACTGAAATTCCACTAATCCAAAAACCATTACCAACTATTTCTATTCATTGTGATTGCATGTCAGCGATTGACAAATGCCATCAAGAGAATGCAGATGTGAAAATGAATCGATACTTGAAAGTGCGACACAAATCCTTGAGATATAAGATGAAAAATCATATAATAGCCTTAGACTTTGTAAGATTAGAGAAAAATCTTACAGATCACTTAACTAAAGGCTTATCTAGGGCAGTGGTCCTAGAATCATCGAGGGGGGATGGGGTTAAGCCCATAAGAAAAATCACTGCAGTGGCAACCCAACCTCGCAGAGGTTCAATGGGTAGAAACAAACTGAATGAGTGATTAATTATGAGGAGCACAGAATTTATTTGCTCCCATCCCTAGGGTGATCAGTGCTCATAAAAAGCAAGTGAAAGGTTGAGTCTAACTCTTAATGAATCCAAGACCCATGAGGCAGGATGCTTACTTGCTCGCATCCTTATTAGGATTCACCTATATGTGTGTAGTTGTGAGGTCGCGACTATGGGATCAGGGCTGCTCCCTAGTAACACACATGAAAGATACTTGCACAAGGCCGATAATAGCGCAACACGCTTAGAATTCTTCAAAACTGTACTATGTGTGCTTTCTGTAGAAATCCGATAAATGGGACTGGTTCAATGTGAAGTCCACCAAGCTCTCACGGATCTATACAATTGTAACTAAGTGAAGGTTCAAACTGAAAGGTACCTCCACCTATTACATAGTATAAGGGAACCATCAATCTTATTTATTTGTTTTATTCTACTTTTATTTTTGAATTATTTTAAGTTTTAAGTTATGTGGGGGATTGTTGGAGTTGCTTAAAACTTCGGTTTGTAGAGGAAAAGAGAAAAACTTTAGTCCCACATTGGAAAAGAGATGAGAAGATAGGCTCTTTATAAGCCTTCCCTTTCTTTTCTATGCCTAGAAGAAAATAAAGGTTATGCTTCACACCACACACGCGCGCGCCGGCCGAGCCGGGCTCGGGCTCGGGTCAGGTCGGGTGGCGCGCGCACACGACCTGCGGACACGAATGCAGCTCCGGATTAATGGGTTCTTAATCTGCTACATTTTTATTTTTGAACAATTAAAATGTAATATTTATTTTTGAACAATTAAAATGTGATAAACATTTTGTAACGGTTAGGATTAAATATTTTGTAACTGCTATAATTAAAATACCGCGGATTTATGGATCTAAATGACAGAAAACGGCTAACATTAATACATTAATGGGCGAGTAATTAAAACGTGTTAATTGCGGGATTTATGAATAACGGCTGTTTTAACCCTATAAAAGGACCTAAACCCAAAGAGTTTTACACAGTGTGAAAAACACAAAACCTCTTCTTCTTCTCTGCTCTATATTTGCTATTATATTCTGCTGGTTCCCTGAAAGTCTAGAAGAGTTCGCAAAGCCTTCTTGAAGCTCGTGCCGACGAGAAGGAGGTCGCCTGACCGAGGGTCGTTGTATCTCCAGGAACTTTTGCCGCGTAGCCCTGTACGAGAGGGGTCAATTAGATTCTTGGGACAGTGCTTGCACGCCTCGACCATCAGGCCATATTTCTAACCCTCATTTCTTTTCGTTTGAATTATTTCTTACATCTGTATTACAATATTAATTCATTATTATCTGAAAATTATTAACTGCATTTCATGCTAATTATTGTCTAAACAGCATTACAATATTAATTCATTATTATCTGAAAATTATTAACTGCATTTCATGCTAATTATTGTCTAAACAGCTTATATTCCCAACATCATTATTATCTGAAAATTATTAACTGCATTTCATGCTAATTATTGTCTAAACAGCTTATATTCCCAACAGTAACTACATTATATTGGCATCTCATCTCAGATCATCTTCAATGATGCACAATTTCAGTTTTCATGCTTGTTAATTATATGGATAGTAAGCCAAAGAGACTTTTACTATGGAAAGGGCAATCAACCAGTGAGAAAACAACAAAACTACAGCTGGGATTACACTCTAAATCACAACATCAGGACTTATGTTCTTCTGAATTACAAAACCCACTGAAACAAACAAATTACTCAACTCCATGTCAATTCCCTATACCATTCACCCACGCAATTAGAACACAAGACAACCAAACTAGACCAACCGATAACTCTGCAAATATTCTGAATACAACCATCCCATTCCTTCTAAAAATTTGAAGACAAATGGTTAGACTTATGCACTATACAACACTTTCTTTTCTTTTTTGCTTATGAAATCTTGCATTAATGTAATATCTAATCAAGGATATTAATACCAGCTAAGTCAGCTGGAAGCTAAAATTGATTATCCTTCAACGATCACAACTCCACCTTCATAGAACCTGCAAGACCAAACAAACACTTAGTACTAGAATATCAAAAGAAAAAAATATCTGTAAATATTTACCATTAGGATTCAGCTCTGTTCCATCATGAGCAAGATTCGGTATGAAACCCATCTGAATAGCATTCTGGAATTCATTATCCCATGAATTCGGTATCTACATCGCGAAACATTTAAATCAATAAAATAATTGCAGAAAACAACTGTCACTAATGAGAAATGATTCAAACACCTGAGCAATTGGAGAAATCTGAGGGCTGCTTGAGGTCCTGAGCAGAACCCTGGAATTGGGTAAGCTTGGAATTGTGATTCCTGGTTGTAATTGAGAATAATTGAGGGATGGTGAACTCCCATGTCTTGAATGAGGATTCTAAGAAGAAAGAGGATCACATTAATATAATTTTCAACAATATAGACTAACAATTATTGAAATGCACTAATATTACTTCTTTTGTAAATATCTGCTCGATATCAAAGCTGAGCTCTGGATTCACTGCAGCGAGTTTCATTGATAGAAACTGCAGAATTAAATCACATTTAAGTACATAAATCTTACAGTTTTTCAGATTTCTAGGAAATGACATAGAATTTAGATCATACCTCTACTTGTCTTTGGAGTGATTGCACGTAGTTTATTATCTCATCAAGCATCACTGCCTTGCCAGTAATCTATGAGAGTAAATAAGAACCAAATTAACTGATCGAAACATAAAAATGGAAACCAGTGATGGGAAAAATTCCGAAAAGAAAACTTAATTACCTTGTTGCATCCAGGAACAATGTCTTGGAGAAGCCTCATTCTTTCACTGATCTTTTCTCTTCTCACCTAACATAACAGAAGTCAAGTCTAAAATTGAAGCAAAATAGTATAAGATGATACATGAGAATTAGTACTATAGCTTACTCTCTCTGCAAGGCTGTGACTGTTGGTAGCCTGCCCTCGCTTGGCTCTGATATGAATATATTCTTCTTTAGCACCATTACCGGTCTCTTTTACACCTGGGCTGACTTCATTCTTCGGTTTCTTCTCATCTTTCTCAAGCTGGCTCTTCAAAGGCTCAGCTTGAGTCTCTTTCTCTTGTTCAGTTTTTGCATTCTGTACAGCACCACATTCAACAAACTTTTTCCTCTTTTTCCCCTTAGGATTTTTCTCGGCGCCATGCTCAGTACCCGAAGGGAATTCTTGAGGACAAACAACACTTGCCATCTGGGTATTTTCTGGCAATCCAAAGGAATTCATGAGGTCTGAGAGGCTATCACTTCCAAAGAACGAAAGGCTCGGGAGTCTCTCGATATTAGAATTGCCAACATTGTATGAAGAGAAACCAGTAGAGCCACTGACTGAATGTAATGGATCCCAATCAGTAGCCATGAATTGCTCAGCAGCAACTCCAGAAGAACATGGGACTTCCATCGAAGAAATTTCTTTTTGAACAGACATCGTAACGTCCCTGTTCATATGAGAAATCTTAACAATCAGAGTGAAATTCTAACACTAGTGCTGGTGTTCGAAGCCAAAGAGAGTTCAGGCGAAGCCAAGGAACAAGATGATCTTTAACTAAAGGGAGAAGAGAGTTTGACTGGTTAATTCCTTGTAGGACTCAACAAGGAACAAATGACCATGGCAGCTTTATACCAAGAGGAGGGTTGAAAGCAAAAGTAATTCTGGGTAGCAGAATCCAATACACAGGTTGCAGAAAGAAAAGATGAACCAAGGTCCAGGCTTATTATCTACTATTCCACCAGCTGGATAACTTTAAACACCATGAGATTATTGTCTATTATTATTATTGTTATTAATCTACTGCAAAGTGACCCACACCAAGAAAGCTAACCTTTCACCAGAGAGCATAAAGGGGGCCAAGAAGAAAAGAATCATAGCAGTAAACAGCTAGACATGCTATAGTAATAAAAGAAAGCCGATTCCTTTTCTACCTTTCTTAGTAAACTAGGACTTGAATTCTCATGAAACAAAGCTAAAAAAACTTGAATGATAGCAAGAGTAACCAAACAGGGAGGGGGGGGGGGAGGCGGGGGGGGGCGTGGAACCAAAAAAATAGCTAAGGATCAGACACTTTTGAGGCAGAATTTTGACAGAAAATGGAGGTAGGGGATATAGCTAAACTAGGGTTTTTAAAAATGGACCACAAGATAAAATTTTGAAGCTTTCCAACAACAAAAGAGAGATGATAAGGGAAACCCTTGGAGTATTTCCTGAAGTGGGTACCTGTAGATGCACTTAAAGCATCCAATTCGCATCAATTCCTACAGAAATTGGACGCTAGAAGCAGTTTGGTTCTAATGGAGAAAATGGCAGCAAATGTTTATGTACAAACAAAGAATTAATAAGCCTTCATATAGAAATCCTTGAACTAGGCGTAATAACCAAAATCAGCTGCAAACTAACAAAATTCAAGTGAAATGGTACCTGGAAAAATTTTCAAATTATCAAACTCAAATGAAAGTATAGTAGCATACAGACATTTATACCAACAAAATGAGTAAATGGGTTTGTAATTGGCTGTCACAGAGAGAAACAGAACATAATTCTTTTGTTTTAAAGAAGACTCTTTAACAGTCTTAACCACTGCCAACTGCTCCTCAGTGAAACAGAGCAGCGTTATTTCTGTACTAATCTAATCAAAGGCAGGTAAGACTAATTCCAAGGCTTAGAGCATCTTCAACAGTTTCTCCAAAATTTTCTCCAAAATTTTCTTCAAAATCGGGAAGCAAAAGTCATATTCTCCAACTAATTTTTACACCAACTCCAACAGCTTCCCCATTTTGAAGAATCTATTTTTTCCTCCATAAATTTGGAGAATGCTGCAGATTTGGGGAAGCTTCCCTATTTTTTCTCCTCCATCCCTATTTTGGGGAATGAGATGGGGAATCTGTTGGATCAAAAACCTAACTAAATTCTTCAAAAATAAGAAATGGGGAAACGGTTGGAGATGCTCTTAAAAAAAGTGAAAGGTCTCTCTCTCTCTCCAAGTCTCAGAATCTTTCCAATATTTTATTTGCTATCCTTTTATACAGCAGAAGGATGAAGTGCTTCAGCTCCAAGCTTGTTAAGGGATCTTTTATCTTTCTTTTTTATTTTTACTGAATGAAAGCCAACTGTTTCTACACAAACATCTCATCACTGCCAGCCAATCAACAGCTCTCATATTTCTCCTCTCAAGCCTCAAACTCTGAATTCTGAATCTCTCTCTCTCTCTCCCGCAAAAAAGGAAAAAAAAACATATGGAATCTTATTATCATCTTTTTTTCTACCTCCTTGTCCTGCACACTTGTTTATAGAGCTACTAGTCAAAAGAAAGGCCACAATTTCCAGTCAATCAATCAGAAAATGCTATGCTTTTGCTCTATTAAAACGTAACAGGCGCCGGTTAAATTGGGTGGCATTACATTTTTATGGGTCTTTTATTAGTTTCATAAAATAATAACAATAAAATAAAACCAAATTTTATCAGGCTAATTATTTTATGTTAGGTAGCCTCGATCTGTGTTCAAATCTTAATAGATGGTCTAAGAATTAATAATTGGGGTAGGATTGGTGTTAGTTTGAGCAATGATTGTCCGTTTGACGAGGAGATTTTAGGAGGGTTGAAACAGTGATTATGGCCACCAACCAAATCAAAATTTGATTTGAGTTTTTATTATCCATTATTAATTATGGAATAAAGCTGGTAGAAAATGAAGGATAAGCTATAGTTCCATCTTTACTTTTTGAAAGTATTCAGTATTCAACTGAGGAACCAGATTGTGACAATCAGCAAAGAGGGGACCAGCCCAGCAAGTTTTAGTATTTTTAGCCCATAACTACTACTTTGAGTATAGTACATCTTCAGTCAAATGTTAGAAGAAAATTGGAATGCGGCTAATATAACTATTGTTACTGTCTACTGCTTGACTTTTAGAGATTGGTAACCAGCTAATATAACTATTGTTACTTTCAAGTTCTTAGGTAATGAGTTTTTCCTATAAAATTCCTTTATTCCAACTGAGGATGTCTAGTTAATGATTGAGCTTGTTCTTATTTTCTCTAACGAGTATCAGAAACTACCAAGAAACTCACCTTGAAGATCTGTACTCAGACAGCTGCTACCCTTCTATGACTTTTCTTCCAAGTGATTTCACATTGGCTTCAGTTTGAGCCAATGATCATATTTCACATTTCCCCGCTTGAAACGTTAAATCAGCTTCAAAAACACATGCTTATATTATCTATTTTACCCCCGAGCTGTCCAAACGGGCCGGCCGCCGGCCCGGCCCGACTTGGATTTCTGGGTCCGGGTCGGGCAAAATGCCTAGCCAGGAGCCG